GTGATGATGATGATGGTGGTGATGATGGTGATGATGATGATGATGATGATGGTGATGGTGATGATGGTGGTGATGATGATGATGGTGATGGTGGTGATGATGATGGTGATGATGATGATGGTGCCTGGCCGACGGATCGTCTTCGTTTCTGTCTTTAACGCTGAAGATAAATTCCCTGCTGGTTTCCAGTGAAGCCAGCAGCAGACGGACGAATCGCTCCAGTCTGAAATGAGTCGGGAATCCTGCGTCGTTTTCACGCCGCGCCTTTGAGGTGATGCAATAGGCTAAAGGGTGATAACTGAAGCTGCATCAGTGGGCTTCCCGTCTCAACATGATTAGGATTCATGACCGTACGGAGGAGTGTGACTGGCAACAGACGTCTCCAAACATTTGATCAACTTTGTTTTTAATTTCTTACATTTGCAATTAAGATGGCCGACACATGAATGATCTGTGAATGCCTCACTGACAGTTTCTCCCCTCAAGCATTTTTCTGTCTGCAGCGTATTGTCTGCAAATCAAACTAACAGTCTCATATTTGGGGAAATAAACGGATTATTTTGTGGCTGAGATGCAACTGACAGGAAGATCCATTTCATTCTGTGTGAGTAATAAATATAAACGTTGATAGAAATGGATTCATGATGATGAAGACACACACAGTCGGATGGTAAGGTTTTTATTCTCCAGCTGTCGTATCTTAGTGATGCTAAGCTAAGTGATGTTCATCAGCGCAGACAGAGCGTCTGCTCAGCGTAGCACCAGATTAAATATCTGGATGTTTCTGTGACATCAGAAAGTCGCTGCCATCACGGCGGATCAGACGTGTCCTCATGGCGTCTGCGACACACGTCTCAATAGGTGGAGCTTCATTTGATCGTTTTAGAAACTTTTCTTTAAAACATGATCTGGATTCTTAATCACGACTGACACTTTGTTATATTTCCTCAATCAGAATCATATTTTTATATTTCTTCAATAAAACAGCCATTACCAGAGCTCATATCAAAAATTATACACAGTGCAAAAACACTAAATCTGACCAAGTTCCGTTTCTGTAGTTCCACTGAAAATGTCTTAGTGCACTTAAAATAAGACAAAACTACAAAACTATTAAGTTAGTTTTCATGGGAGTTTGTTTAAAGTCAATAATTCCTTTATAATGATGAAAATTGAAATTCACCTACAACATGGGAAAAATGTTTTAAGGGAAACAAATTGCCAGTTAATCTAAAACATCCTCTCTATAAACCGAGCTTCATTATTTCCTGTTTCCATTTCAACTAGAGAGGCAGGACTGAGCCGAAGTCACTCACCGTGAGCGTGTTCTCCGACCGGACAGGAAGTCCGGAGACGTCCACCTGCGCCCGGTCATCTACATGCGATCCGAAGCCGTGGACCAGCAGCACCGGCCCGCAGGACTCCACGTCCCGGCGGGGAACCAGGTTCAGGTCTCCGTCCACGTGGAAGCTGGGATCTGACACCTCAAACGACACGTCCTCGTTCCCCGCGCAGTCATCAAACTCCACTGCAAGACACACACACACACACACACACACACACACACACACACACACATTGCTGTGACATGTTCCCAGCAAATTACAAACAACAGAACCGCAGGAGGAGCGGCGGCCATGACAGTCACACAGCAGAACCTGAGAGGCTGTCAAACAACACATGAAGCAGGAGGCTTAGATATAAACACATCGCCGGAGGAAAAACACGCAACGGAGCAAAGAGCAGGATGTTCAGAGGGAATGTCAGCAGCGCTCCACCTGAGGCTGCTGCAGCGCAACATGCTGGCCTGTCTGGACGTATTAACATCCCCGGCTTCCTGGGGGCGCTGTGGTGGCGCAGGGGTCAAGAAACCACATATGGAGGCCTCACCGGTCCGCTTCCCGGCTTGGTGACCTTTGCTGCATGTCTTCCACCATCTCTCATTACCTGTCAATTCACTATCAAATAAAGGCCACTAGAGTCAATAAAACCTTAAAAAAATAAATACTGAAAAAAGCCTCCAGCTTCCTGCTGCAGACAAATCACAGAAAAAACTATTTAAATCCACAGGACCACAAACGCATCACGCAGTGACTCCTGTCTGCTCCCTCTCCACCAGGAGTTATCCCTCATCATATTCAGATTTATCTCACACCCACTGGGCCTGCAGCATCCATCACCTCCCAGTCAGCGCTGCTGCTCCTAACTGGGATCAGACGGAGCGTCCAGTACCGGATCGGACCGAGCGTCCCGTACCGGATCGGACCGAGCGTCCCGTACCGGATCGGACGGAGCGTCCAGTACCGGATCGGACCGAGCGTCCCGTACCGGATCGGACCGAGCGTCCCGTACCGGATCGGACGGAGCGTCCAGTACCGGATCGGACCGAGCGTCCCGTACCGGATCGGACTGGGCAATTTGTTCTCCATTCATGCTAAAGCAGATATAATCAGATAACGAAGCTCATCGCTGCTCAGAGCTGGAACAGGGCAGAGAGACGGAGACGACTTCTGTGGTGACTAAGCTGGAGCTTCAGGCCGGCCTTCCCCTCCGCTGAGAAACAGAAACTGTTCACAGGATAACGAGCTGCAACCACCAGAACAAACTCTGCAGAAACATCTGCTCTATGCTGAGACTTCCCTGCATATATTGACTTTAAATCACTCATATAGTTTTAATTACCTGCAGAGAAAAGGAGCATAAACACCTTTATGTCCTCTAATAAAACCAGGCCGTTACAGCGTTTGTATTTCTGGAGGGATTGTGTTGATGCTCGGAGCGACGCAGCAGGGACGCCGTTTAACAACGGCAGCCATCTATTAATGTAATTAATACTTTTCTCTCTGCTGCTTTAGCCGTCCATCCTTCAGCAGCGAGCAGCAGAGCCAGGCCTGGTTGGCCCTCCCTCACTCTGATCAGGACGCTCATTTGATACACTTAACCTTTGTATCCGTTCAGTCTGCCTTCTATCGCCTCTCTGCAGACAAAATCTTTATTTACCATGGAGAGGAGCAGAGTATCAGAGAGAACATGAAAAAGTAAAATTAATCCAAAAAATGGCAGAATTAATACGAGTCCAACAGGCAGCGAGTGAGGAAGTCAGCAGCTTCTGCAGGGAAACGCCGCGCTATCACACAAACTCAACGCTCTCTTCTAAGCTGAAGCATGAAAGATGTGTTCATTTCCATCCCCATTACAAGCCCCAGATTTATTTCAATAACATGGCTGACTCTTTAGAGGCTGCAAATTGCAGCACCAAACAGTGTCAGTGGCATTTCAAAGGCAGCCGAGTGTTTGATGGTATTCTAATGCTGTCAGGTTTGGGGGATTTCTCTGAACAAACTGAATTGGCAGCTTTGAAGTCAGACAACAATGACAGAATGTAAGTTACCCGACTTCAGTGCCGCTGCACAGCCACCACTCCTCCAGAACCAGCAGAACACGGATCAGAGACGCCGACATCTCCACAGCATTACTGCAGACAGGAAGCACAGCTAATGCTTAGCTTAATGTTTTATATTTATATGAACTAAAACTTATGTGATCGACCATCAGGCTGTGAGAGAGCAGCCACGGCTACACAGCTCCGCAGCTAAACTTATCAGGCCTAGCCTGCTAAACCATGGTTAGCATGGTTAGCCTGCTAACCATGCTAAACTGTCCCTGGTTATCAAGCCTAGCCTGGTTAGCAGTTAGCAGCTAGTGACCTTTGTTTTAGCTGAGAGGTTTTCCAGCGTTGGCTAGTCCAGTATATCCAACTTCCTGTGATACGCTCAGGTGGTTTCTATCTGCTCTCTAGCGCCACACTGTGACAGCCTGCAGGAACAGCTCATGTAACTCTGGAGACAATAATTTGCTTTTTAGAGGCTTCTGTGAGATTTGTTTTAAAGCGCCATTCATTTTCCTTGGTGCTGATTGGCTGAAGCTGTAAGAGCAGAAATAGGGCAGATTGTAGATTTTAGTTTCTATGGTTGCAAAGTTTCCACTGCCTGTATTAATGCTTGTTAAAGTATATTTAATGTCTGAACTGTTGAAATAGTTATAATTATTTTTATTGGTCTGCAGTGATTTCAGATTCAGCTGTTCATGGAGAAAAAACAAACGCTCTTTAAATTTAAAACAAAGTTATTTCAGTTAGAGGGCAAAGAACCGAATCACTTTGGTGACTTAAGATATTCATTTATACATTTACAGTTTGACCACATATTTAAAAAGTTAATAAATCTTCAGTTTATTTTTATTAACTAGTTTATCTTTCATAGCTAAATCCTTGAAAACACAATCAACAAAATACATTTGAATACATATTTTTTCAGCGGAGAGGCATAAACTCCTTGATAATGCTGAACTCTACCATTATTAAGCTGCTTCCAGCTTTTGTCCGTCACATAAATGAGATTTCTTTCCTTCCTGTCAGGTACTAAAGTTTTCCTTTGAGGTGTTTTGAAGACTATTTTCTGTCTTGTACCAAAATGTCAAGCCTCCATGATGGCAGAGATGTGAATCAGAGTAATCTGAAAGGTGGCAGCGCGGCTGAGAGCTGCCGAGTGAAACCGCGTCGCAGCGGCTTCTCAGTAATCACCTGGCAGTAAGGAGCTGCTGCTGGGATGGATGTCACCTCAGAGCGGCCAGACTGGGAGACTCACCCGGATTCTCGTCCAGGTTGTTTCAGATCTGATCAACTACGGGAGCCCAAGAAGAACAATCCTTCATCTCCACTGCAACAGATTTATAAATCCTCCAGCATCACATCATGAAAAAACCAGTTATTATTATTCATCACATCCAGCAGTAAAATCTGATTCAGTCTCTTCTGATCTTAGAAGCAAAGATTTCTCATTTGGGTTTCTAAATGATAACAGTGAATGTTAAATATTCTTTACCAAATCAACAAACATAATTCAGCTCTGTAGTTTATTAGACGGCTGCCTTATGTTCAGTTTATGACACTCGGCATGTTTGGTGAGATGTCTGACCAAACATATGAAGACAAACTTATTTACCTTCTCACTCGTTTTTAGACCAACTTCTCTAATTCTTTCAGTTCTTACTATAAAAAATGTCGAGTTAAAAGTGCATCGGTCTCCTTTCACAATGTTTTGTGGAAAATTGATGGAATATTTTGCTATTTCATGTTTTTGTAGCCTAAACACTCAGAATGCATCTTGGGAAGCTCAGATAACATGAAATGCTGGTTGACAAACTTTTACATCATCTTCTGCTGTTTTCTCAGTGTTGTACTCCCTGTAGCAGCTGGTCAGCGTTCTGATTGGCTGTGGCTCCTTCCTGGAGGCGGGCATCGATAACGACATGATGCTGCCATCACCTGGTTAACGTTTTTATCTTTCTGTTGCCAGATGAGATGCTCCTGGATCACTTCTTCTGGGGTCAAGCCGAGTTTATTAATATTTCACATTTCATCAACATTTCAGTTCAAAGCGCCATGAAAGCCTTACGCAGTAACCAAACCAAACCGTACCAACTTTATTCATAAAGCTCTTTAAAACAACCACAGCTGATACCAAGTGCTGTACATTAAAACACAACATAATAAAATAAAAAACTCTTGCAGTTTAAAAACAAACATACAAATTAAAACTGGATCATGCTGTAGTTGAAAACCAATTAAAATCGATGGGTTTTAAGACGAGCTTTAAAAGAGGACAGTGAAGGCAAGTCGTTCCATATGGGGCCCCTGGCAGAGAAGCCCTGTCCCCTCTGAGCTTCCTGCTGGACCTCGGTTCCTGCAGGAGCAGCTGATCTGCCTGACAGACCGATGGGGTATATAAACTATGAAACAAGCAATAAACATAACATTTTGTGAAAAGCCACTGATAAAAACAAGCTGCTGTGGGATTAAATCTGCTGTTTCTAAGGATTATGATGTTTAAATGGTTAAAATCATCTGAATCTGAGCAGCTGATCATTTGAAACATGTCAACATGTTGAACTCTGCGTTTGATTGGCTGCATCACAGAATGGCAATGTGTGTGACGCAGCCAATCAAAATGAATGAGTGAGGTATTAATGAATGAGTAAGGTATTAATGAATGAATGAGGTATTGATGAATGAGTGAGGTATTAATGAATGAGTGAGGTATTAATGAATGAGTGAGGTATTAATGAATGAGTGAGGTATTGATGAATGAGTGAAGTATTGATGAATGAGTGAAGTATTAATGAATGAGTGAGGTATTGATGAATGAAGTATTAATGAATGAGTGAGGTATTGATGAATGGGTGAGGTATTGATGAATGAGTGAGGTATTGATGAATGAGTGAGGTATTAAGCTGTGATGAAATGAATAGTTTAGAGCAGCAGAATCACCTTCAGGTGACGACGTGCTGATCTAGAGAGAAATATCTACGCTGTTCGGTGAATATTCTTTAATATTTTCTAGCTCTAATCAGGGAAAACGTGTTTAATGAAAAAATGGATTTAACTGATGCTGAAAAGCATGGCCTAGTCAAAGTCCAGATCTTACTGAAAATCTGTGATGTTGTCCTTCCAGCCTGACATTTTCATGA